TACTAAATTGTCTCTAGTCGCAGCCAATAACACAGTCATTAAAACTTATGGCGAACAATCACTTATTTTAGATCTCGGTCTCCGGAGACGTTTCACATGGGTTTTCATCGTAGCTGAAATCAAACAACCCATTATCGGGGCCGATTTTCTCGGTGCTTACAACCTACTTGTAGATATGGGGAAAAAGAAACTAATCGACAAAAACACAAGCTTACAGGTCAGTGGCACAACTATCTCCAGTTACGAAATTCATGGAGTCCGTATGTTAAGACCTGAAAACAAAATTTTCACCGATATCCTGTCGAAGTATGAAAGTATAACCAGAGCTGATTACCAAAACGAATGCTCCACACATCATGTCCAACACAGTATTACTACTACAGGACCACCTATTCGCGCCAGGGCGAGAAGACTCCCTCCAAACAAGTTGCAGTTCGCTAAGAGAGAATTCGAACATATGATGCAACTTGGGATAATCAGACAATCTAACAGTCCTTGGGCCTCGCCGCTGCATATGGTTCCCAAGAAAGATCAAGACTGGCGCCCATGTGGAGATTATCGCCGATTGAATAACCAGACTATCCCAGACCGGTATCCGATCCCTCACCTGCATGATTTTTCTTTAAATCTACATGGAAAACAGATTTTTTCAAAGTTAGATCTAGTCCGAGCATACCATCAAATACCGATGGCACCTGAGGATATCGAGAAAACAGCTGTAATCACACCTTTTGGCTTGTTTGAATTCTTGAGGATGCCTTTCGGACTAAAAAACGCCGCTCAAACCTTCCAGAGATTTATGGACGAAGTAACTAGAGGTTTGGATTTCGTATTTGTCTATATCGACGATGTTTTAATCGCTAGTTCTTCCATTGACGAACATGTTCAGCACCTACACACGCTTTTTGAACGTTTCAAAAGTTATGGTGTTGTAATCAACCCTTCGAAGTGTATATTTGGCGCCTCATCTCTGGAATTCCTGGGACACCACATTGATTCCCAAGGAATTAAACCGCTTGAAGAGAAAGTCAAAGCCATCTCCAGCTATCCAGAACCAACCTCAGTAAAATCACTACGTCGTTTTCTTGGAACATGTAATTTTTATCGACGATTTCTACCAAATTGTGCCGATGTACTACAGCCATTGACAGATTTACTGAAAAACGATAAATCAGGTACCAAGAAAGAAAAGAACCAAATATTCAAGTTACCTTCCGATGCCAAAGTAGCATTTGAAAAAGCTAAATCCATGATTGCTAATGCTACCATGCTCCAACACCTAAATACTGACCCCACAACACTGTTGATCCTATGCACGGATGCTTCACAAAAAGCCGTCGGGGCAGTATTACAACAGCGGGTAAACAACACGATTACCCCCATTGCCTTTTTCTCCAAGAGATTATCGCCAGCACAAGAACGTTATAGTACTTTTGGACGCGAACTCTTAGCTATGTATTTAGCAGTAAAACATTTCAACTTTTTGCTACAGGGTCGTGATTTCATCATTATGACAGATCACAAACCCCTTTGCCATTCTTTTAGCACATCGTATGACAAACACTCCCACGAGAAGCAAGACAACTTGATTATATCTCCCAATTTACCACAGACATCAGGTTTATCAAAGGTCACACGAACATTGTTGCAGATGCACTATCTAGGAGGGATATCAATACGATGGTACTCAATCATGACATCAGCCTTGAAACCTTGGCTAAATTACAAGCAGACGATGCAGAATTGAAAGTCTGCAAAGAAAAGTCTAGCTTAGATCTCAAACCTGTACCTATTCCCTTTCAGACGCATTCATCATGTGCGACACTTCAACAGGCAACAATCGTCCGTTTGTCCCACATGCTTGCCGACGAAAAATATTTCAGCATTTGCATGGTCTTTCACATCCAGGCATCAGAGCAACAACAAAGCTCATTACCGAACGTTTTGTGTGGCCTAAAATCAACTCGGATGTTAAACGTTGGACACGTAACTGTCTCCAGTGCCAACGCAGTAAGACGCAAAAACACACCTACAGTCCAATTGGGAAGTTCCCTATCCCTGACAAACGCTTCCAGCACGTGCATTTAGATTTAGTTGGGCCTCTGCCACCATCAAACTCTTTCACACATATCCTCACCGCAATAGATAGGTTCACAAGATGGGCCATAGCATGCCCCATTAAAGACACATCGGCAGAGACAGTGGCTTCAGTTTTCCTCGACCGCTGGATATCCAACTTTGGCGTACCATCAACAATCACAACAGATCGCGGTCCCCAATTCCAATCCGTTCTATTTAACGAGTTCACTAAACTTCTTGGAGTAAATCATGTTAAAACGACAGCTTATCATCCGGCAGCTAATGGCATGGTTGAAAGATTCCATCGCCAACTAAAAAGCTCTCTGATGGCACAACCGGACCCTTCAAAATGGAGCGATGCTTTACCGCTCGTTCTCCTTGGGATTCGCTCGTCTGTAAAGGAAGACATCGGATGCACGGCCGCTGAACTAGTCTATGGCACGACATTAACGTTACCAGGACAACTGGTCAAGAATGAACCCACAACACCAGGAGACCCTTCTCGTTTTGTAAGCAGATTACTACAAATGATGCAGAGCATCAGAGCAATACCACCTCGAGAACACAACAACCGAGTCCATCTCGATAAACATTTAGAAACGTGCAAATTTGTTTTTGTTCGAGTAGACGCGGTGAAAAAGCCACTGACACCACCATATGAAGGCCCTTATAAAGTAATAAAACGCACTGACAAATATTTCATTATCAACAAAAATGGGAACCATGAGACAATTTCTATAGACCGAATAAAACCAGCTTTCTACGAAGTCCCTCAAGACACAGAAGACAATACTGCGAACAAACAATCACTCCCATCTATTGCTAAGAAACAAGAGGAAGAGGAAAAACTTAGCACTACACCCTCTTGTTTAACACGTTCTGGGAGACTTATAAAAAAACCAAAGCGTTACGTACATTTTGCCATATAAAAAAAAACTAAAACAATCAAAGCAAACAATTATCGAGGACCTACACTATCAATCCCATCTAAAAAAATTTTTTTTCCTTTCTACAGTGCACATAATCACATTTTTCCACAATTATTCGTTTAGTCACATTTTTTTTTCAAAAAAATTTTGGTACAATAATAAACGGGTAAACTCTATTTCATTATTTATTCATTGTACACAAAAATAAACAGTTCAATTTTGTGTGTGTGTGTGTGGTGGTGGTCATTAACAGTTTTACACATTATTATCATTGTTAGCTAAACGAGACATTAAATGACAGTATTTTCATTTTTTCGTGTGTTTTTTATTCTGTGACATCACTGTTATTTTTTTCTCACACGATAACACACGGTATATCTCACTAAGAATAATATAATCGTCCGGCCCTTTTTTTTAAAAAAAAACCTCCACCCCCCAAAAAAATTTTTCCAACCCCAAATTACAATATATTTCATCCCGTGTTTCGTCCAATGAAATGGCTAGTTTCAAAACTTAGATTTAATTGGTTAGTTATGTCTTGAAAATTGTTATAAATTATCAGTACTTGTCGACGAAGCACATTCCAATCGGCGGCCTGCTTGAGCATCTGGGCTACCTGTTCCTGCCATCTGGATATTTCAACAAGTTATCTATTTTTGTTTGTTTTAATATATCATTATGTCTATTAATCGCACAACCTATTCTGCTGCGTTTCTGAAAAATGTACAACCTTTCGTTATCAAAGTTACAAAAAGCTCAAAAAGAGAGAATATGGTTGCTGGCAATATACAACGAAAAGAATGTACATCATTCCCATGTTCATTTACTGGACTGATAACATCAAGCTGGCGACCACTCAGTATTTATCGCGGGGACCGACCAAAAAGAAAGAAACGGAAACTTGTTGAAATACTTTGTGCTGAGAATTCTAAATTGTACCAATAATATAATATTGAACAAAGCTAATAATAATAATAATAATAATGGAGCAGAGTAACGTGCCAAGTACAAGCGCTGGTGTTTCTCGCGTAATGGAAATGGAGGAATTCTTTTGACTACCTTGTTTCTGGTTGCGTTTCCATCGGTCGAAGCGTTAAAGACCACTATCACAAATTTTGAAAGATCGACTTACAGTCATTATGTAGTGAGAGATTCGCATATTGACAGAGATCAAAAATCGTACATTAAATTTGTGTGTTGGCGAAATGGGCGTGTAAGATCTAGCGGTTCGTCACAACGTCTTAGACGGAGGGGGTAATTTGGTAAATGGTTTTATAATTTTTTAACGAAAGGCTTCTATGAACACCCGATCTCCAGCCTTCATGTTTTGTAAGATTAAAGACGGCTACTGGACTGTTGTCCGTGGGAATGTGCATCCCAATCACGAGTGCAATTCCCTGAGGTACCAAGGTAATTCATGGATGCGCAGGTTAACGGATGGGGAGTTTGAAACTGTGAGACCGCTGCTAATATCTGGTACTGCTGCATTCCACATAAAGAATTTTGCTTACCAATCTTATGGGAAACGTCTGAGTGATCAAGATATCTGTAATATGCGGTACAAAGTGTTCAAACACGCGAACCTTCCAGGTAAGCAATTTGCCAATTTATAATATACACTATAGGTGATTACGGGAAGTTGAAAGCTCACATAACATACTTGGGTGGGCTTTTGGAATACGAATTGGACAATGAGAACTGTCTATCGTATTTCTTCTTCATAAATGCTGAGCAACTGAATTTGGTCGGTCACTTTTGTGACGTAATTGGTTTTGACGAGACGTACAAAACGAATAACGAGAACGTCCATTTATATCAATTCGTTGCCCTTGATATGAATTTTAAGGCAATACCCATCTGCATTGCCTTCTTAAGTCGCGAAACGTCAACATTAATTTCTGTATTCCTGCGTTTTTTCCAACGGTGTACCAACAGTCGACAGCTGGTAGGCATTGTGACCGATGATTCACCTGCAATTGCTGCTGCTATTATGCAGGTGTATCCGGATACACACCATATTCTGTGTCACGTACACCTAGTTCGGAATGTGATAAAGAGGGTAAATGTTTCGTTCATTAACATTAATCCAGTACCCGTTATTGTAGAGGGTGCGATCAGAAATTGTACAACTGTTCTTTTGCCTCATGTTCACTCGAACGGTTGAAAGGTAAATCAAAATCTATATAACATGATTTTTTAGTTTTAACAACGTACTTTCGTTAATCGACATGTCGGACGGAACGTTTGCTCGATATGTCAGAGACCACCTATTACCGAGAAAACACAAATGGTCTACAATTTTGTTGAGACAAGTCATCGAATTTTGAAGATGCATCAACTGAGTCGAAAAACACCGGTGCTGAGATCTATTTTCATTGTGCTACTCCGCACTGGATATTGGATGGAAGCAAGATTACAGAAATATACATCAGATTGCCGGATAAAAGCCAACGTTGGTCAAGAGCCAGCAATGCGTGGACTTCAGGAAGGACTGACACGAGCTGCATGTCAAGTACTGAAGCGACGCCTGCGCACTCCTATAACGGAGTTTGTAATGTCTGTTGACTTATTCACAGCTGTGGACGCAACGGGCATTTACAATGTACACCGCGATTCCATGCGCTGCCCCTGTTCATTTTCCATTGATAACGGTTTGCCATGTCGGCATATATTGGCTTGCTGTACACACAGTATTACTAATGTGAACGTACAGTCAATTTGTGATAGTTTGTTACAGTCTGATACTTATCTGACTCATATTGCAGTTGAGAATTATTTCACAATGCAAGTGAGCCAGCCGAACATGAAGAATACAGTGATTGCGTTAGTCATGCAAATGTCTGAGGAACAATGCTGTTCACTTTATAGCCATGTTTATCAAGAACTTCACGGTAGACTACCACCAACGCCTTTGAACCTACAGGCAGAACCGCAGTTGTACACTGAAATAAGAACCTCGACTAACGTTGCAACGCCGTCGATGCACTGAGAAAATGTTGATTTGGGTGAAACGTTAAGTAACGACGAGGATGAAGTAGTTTCTATAACTCCGAAGAGCTAACAGAATGGGACATCTAAAATGAAGAAGATGAAGAGAACCGTTTGTGTGACATCTGTAATGTTGCACAGCCGCCGTGTGAAACCATCATCATTGAATTGATTCATGTAATTAAAGGTCATATAGTAAGTGTAAAAAGAAATAAGAATATTAGCCGTTTCATGAATACAAAAGAAAAAAATTTATATTCTTGTTTTATATTAAAAGTACCTGAAACCAGAACTATGCGTACGTATGAATTACGTCTGATCGTCAACTAAGCCTTCATTGTGATTCATAACGACTGATTATATCACCGTATTCATTTGAACACCCATAGAACTACTAATTACTGGTACAATCACACTATACAGTTATAAGTCCATAATTTGAATATTTTATAAAGACCGAAAATAAGGCATGGCATTTATGAATTTGATAATGTTGTGGTGGACCAGACGATATATAAACAGAAAAAGTATCAATAAGTTAATAAAAAGCAATAGTAATATTAATATATATCAGTTAAATGTTACACATACAATAAAAATGGGACTTTACTTAAGTTCACCCAAAATGATGCGTGTTCGGCTTTAATCTGGTACAATAAATCCACAATTATAGATGCTTGTTAATTCCAAACGTATCGATGAACTTCTCGATGGTGTAATCCAAAGTAAGATATGGTGTTTCCGTTCTCACAGTCTATGAATGTAAATAATATTTGTTTTATATCCCAGTTAACTCAATCTCGAATGAAAACAGAACGGGGAATTTGGGAGAAGCAGTGTATTTTTTAACCACCAACGATATGTCACGCTATGTAGTATCACAACGGAAAAGGTCTTCAAGGTCATTTACTTAAACAACAGGTGCAGTCATTTAATGGTAAATGTACATACAGTGAGAAATTGACAAAATAAATACAAATAATATTAAAAACTATTTACAAAATAAGCTTGTCACACTTATCTCCACACAGCTCCTCCCAGAGTGTCCGGAGGCAACACTGGTTATAATAATTTAAAAAATGTAAGAATATGATATATATGTATATACAAAAATAATATTTACGGTTATAACCAACAAAAGTTGTGGAGATGGATTTGACATATACATTAATAAGATGCAGTGTGTTATCGTTTGAGAATAGTAATGATGTGGCATGGCATAACGAACACAAAAAAAAAATAAAAATACTGTCATTTAATGTCTCGTTTAGCTAACAATGATAATAATGTGTAAAACTGTTAATGACCACCACCACACACACACACACAAATTGAACTGTTTATTTTTGTGTACAATGAATAAATAATGAAATAGAGTTTACCCGTTTACTATTGTACCAAAATCTTTTTTGAAAAAAAAATGTGACTAAACGAATAATTGTGGAAAAATGTGATTATGTGCACTGTAGAAAGGAAAAAAAATTTTTTTAGATGAGATTGATAGTGTAGGTCCCCGATAATTGTTTGCTTTGATTGTTTTCGTTGTTTTTTTATATGGCAAAATGTACATAACGCTAGGGTTTTTTTTATAAGTCTCCCAGAACATGTTAAACAAGAGGGTGTAGTGCTAAGTTTTTCCTCTTCCTCTTGTTTCTTAGCAATTGATGGGAGTGATTGTTTGTTCGCAGTATTGTCTTCTGTGGCTTGAGGGACTTCGTAGAAAGCTGGTTTTATTCGGTCTATGGAAATTGTTTCATTGTTCCCATTTTTGTTGATAAGGAAATATTTGTGAGTGCGTTTTATTACTTTATAAGGACCTTCATATGGTGGTGTCAGTGGCTTTCTCACCGCGTCTACTCGAACAAAAACAAATTTGCACGTTTCTAAATGTTTATCGAGATGGACTCGGTTGTTGTGTTCTCTAGGTGGTATTACTTTGATGTTCTGCATCATTTGTAGTAATCTGCTTACAAAACGAGCAGAGTCTCCTGGCGTTGTGGGTTCATTCTTGACCAGTTGTCCTGGTAACGTTAAGGTCGTGCCATAGACTAGTTCCGAGGCCGTGCATCCGATGTCTTCCTTTACAGACGAGCGAATCCCAAGGAGAACAAGCGGTAAAGCATCGCTCCATTTTGAAGAGTCCGGTTGTGCCATCAGAGAGCTTTTTAGTTGGCGATGGAATCTTTCAACCATGCCATTAGCTGCCGGATGATAAGCTGTCGTTTTAACATGATTTACTCCAAGAAGTTTAGTGAACTGGTGAAATAGAACGGATTGGAATTGGGGACCGCGATCTGTTGTGATTATTGATGGTACGCCAAAGTTGGATATCCAGCGGTCAAGGAAAACTGAAGCCACTGTCTCTGCCGATGTGTCTTTAATGGGGCATGCTATGGCTCATCTTGTGAACCTATCTATTGCTGTGAGGATATGTGTGAAAGAGTTTGATGGTGACAGAGGCCCAACTAAATCTAAATGCACGTGCTGGAAGCGTTTGACAGGAATAGGGAACTTCCCAATTGGACTGGAGGTGTGTTTTTGCGTCTTACTGCGTTGGCACTGGAGGTAGTTACGTGTCCAACGTTTAACATCCGAGTTGATTTTAGGCCACACAAAACGTTCGATAATGAGCTTCGTTGTGGCTCTGATTCCTGAGTGAGAAAGGTCATGCAGTTGACGAAATACTTGTGGACAACAGGCTGGAGGGACCCCTTGAAATATCGGAAATTATAGATGTATTTGAGAAAGGGATGGGTGCTGGTTTAAGGTTCAAGTTAGACTTTTCCTGGCAGACCTTCAAATCTGCATCGTCTACTTGTAGTTTTGCGATTGTTTCTAGATCGATGTCTTGTTTACGTACCAGGGTATTTACGTCCTTACGTGACAATGCGTCAGCTTCGACGTTGGTGTGTCCTTTGACAAATTAGATATCTGTCGTAAACTGGGAGATGTTATCCAGTTGTCGTGCTTCGCGAGGTGAGTGTCGGTCGTACGAAGTGTTGAATGCGTAACATAAAGGTTTGTGATCGGTCATGATGGTGAAAGTTCGTCCTTGTAGTAAGAAGTTAAAGTGTTTAACGGCTAAGTAGATAGCAAGTAACTCCCGTCCAAAAGTACTATAGCGTTCCTGGGCTGGTGACAGTCTTTTGGAGAAAAACGCTATGGGAGTAGTCATATTGTTTACCTGTTGTTGTAATACTGCCCCGACGGCTTTTTGAGATGCATCCGTACACAGAATTAAGTGGGTTGTGGGGTCAGTATTTAGATGTTGTAGCATGGTGGCATTAGCTATCATCGACTTTGCTTTTTCAAATGCTGTTTTGGCATCAAGAGATAGGTTGAATGTTTGATTCTTCTCTCTCTTCGTACCTTTTATGTCAGCTTTCAGCAGATCGATTAATAGCTGTAATACTTCAGCACAACGTGGTAAGAAGCGGCGATAAAAATTACACATACCGAGGAGGCGTCGTAATGACTTCACCGAGGTTGGCTCGGGGTAGTTAGTAATATCTTCAACTTTCGTCTGAAGTGGTTTGATCCCTTGTGAGTCGATGTAATGTCCCAAAAACTCTAAGGCTGGGACTGCGAATATGCATTTCGAAGGGTTGATGACGACGCCATGTTTTTTGAAACGATCAAAAGGATCTGGACATGTTGGATATGCTCTTCTAAAAATGAGCTTGCAATCAGAACATCGTCGATGTAGGCAAACACGAAATCAAGGCCTCTTGTTACGTTATCCATGAAACGTTGGAATGTCTGGGCAGCGTTTTTTAGTCCGAATGGCATCCTTAGAAACTCAAACAAACCAAAAGATGTTATTATGGCTGTTTTCTCAATGTCTTCTGGTGCCATTGGAATTTGGTGATACGCTCGCACTAGGTCGAGCTTCGAAAAAATGCATTTACCGTGTAGGTTTAATGAAAAATCGTGTATATGCGGAAATGGGTACTTGTCAGGAATGGTTTGATTGTTTAATCGTCGATAGTCACCACATGGACGCCAATCTTGGTCCTTCTTTGGTACCATGTGTAACGGCGTGGCCCAAGGGCTGTTGGATGGTCTGATAATACCAAGTTGCATCATATGTTTGAATTCTCTTTCAGCTACTTGCAACTTGCTTGGCGGTAGTCTCCTGGCCCTGGCGCTAATAGGTGGGCCGGTGGTAATGATGTGGTGTTGCACCTGATGTGAATTACATTCCTTTTGATAATCTGATTTCGTGGTGCATTCGTATTCTGACAGAATGTCGTTGAAAACGTTGTTCGCAGGCTTCATTATTCGTACACCATGGATTTCACAGTCGTTGGAAGGTGTACCCTCTACCTGTAAACGTGTATTTGCATCGATCAATCTCTTCTTGGTCATATCTACTAACAAGTTGTACGCACTAAGGAAATCGGCTCCGAGGATGGGTCGTTTGACATGAGCAACTATGAAAACCCATGTAAATCTTCTGCGGAGTCCGAGGTCTAATATCAGTGATTGCTCATCGTACGTTTTGATAGTTGATTCATTAGACGCTACTAAGGACAATTTAGTGCTTGTCGTATGTTGTCTGCGTGAGAGATGGAATGGGATGATGCTGATTTCTGCTCCAGTATCGACTAAGAAGTCTGAGCCAGAAATACGATCCCTGATGTGGAAGAGGCGGCTAACATGTTGGCCAGTAACTTTCATTTATTTTAGATTTAGTGCATGGATTAAAATAGGAAAGAGATAAGCATCTAGGTTACATGAATTCCCCAACAGTTTCATTGTTTACATTTGTTCAGGTAGATAAAATACATTGAAATTGAGCAGATTATCAAAAATCACTGACTAGAGTTTAGTTTTGCAAATTAAATCTAACACGTAAAATGATGTTCACATAGATATGATAACCAGAATTACTGTTTTCTAATTAGATCGAAACTGGTTATTCTCTGTGGATGATGTGAATTCTGCACCTACAGTAAACATCAGTTCCTTCAAGATTACAGATTTGTCAACTTGTACGAAATGCAAGTCAAATAAAGTATCTTCCCGATTGTCACTAATTATTTAGCTTCAAAAGCGATAGAAAAGAATTCATTTTTAATAGTTGAAATCATGAGTCAATTGAAGCTAGACCACCATAGAAAACCTGGAAGCACTGGATAGCCGTTTCGTCCCACTACAAGTATCCTCGGCAGTGCTCATCCACGAACCCGCCTAGCGAGATCCGAACCCAGGA